TGTCACTGCATAAATCTGCAAATCTATATGTAAAGAGTTAAGGCTGTCCTGCTTCATTCGAATGAGCAAAGCATACTGACTTCTGAAGCATGACAGAAGAAAAACTCTTTAAAAAGCGTGTATCATGAATGCTTCTAGACTATTAATGGCTTGGGAAAGGAACCTGAGAGATTTTTTGATGGTTTGGGATTTCTTTGTACTGTTTTTTTTTAAAATTTCACATTTATTTTTGAAATAGAGCTACTTACACAGAATAGTACATGAAATAAAGGGATTTAATTAAATATATTCTTACACACAATATGTCATACCATGCTAACATTATGCTGTATTATAAGAACTTGAACTGATACACCATTATCACAGCGGTGATAGTGCTACAAGTATTTTTGGCTAAAGTAAGAATCTTAATAACCTGTCAAGGAATTTTAAAATAAAATCAACAATTACAAAAAAAAAAAAATTCCAAACATAATGGAGTGACTGGGACAAATTGCAGGGGAATTCTAACCTACCATTTATTTCAGCGGAGGCACATTGTGATTGAAATCGGCTATAGGTGTACCTACATTTTTTAAAACCATGAAAGACATAACTGCAGTGTATGGGATTGTGATTATATGGATACACTGTGCTTCTGCCTGAAAGATGGTCTCATCTGGCTGATTAGCATGTTGCATAGCAATGGCATGTGGGAACTCATTCAACATTCGCTGCTGGAAGGCCTCCAGCCTTTCATAGTCATGTCCTCGGCAAACAAATTCCTTATTCTGAGCAGAAAAAGAAAAAAAAACAAAACCAAACCACAACACAAGAGCAAGTTATGTGAAAATAATTAGGTACCATTAGATAGATACAAACATATGCTCTTAAATATAGACATTCCGGGCAATTTTTATACCATTTTGAGAAGGAAAAAATAAGAAACAAAAGGCAAGAATGAAAATAAGAAATCTAGAAAGAACAGGTTACTTAGAAGAAGGAAATTTTACCATATAAAGTATGTTTTTTTCAAAAGTCTGGAAAAACTGAATTATTCTACTTAAAGCTTTAACAAAAATCTGAAGGGAGAAATTGTTCTTACTGGATTAAAGTATGTAACTAACATAACATATCAGATTGTAAAAAACATGTAACAAAAATATAATGCAACAGACAGATAAGACAATGAAATGGGTCGAAAGTCCTTTCCATGAGGAACTAGGAAACTTTGCTTTGAAGTTATACAATTCTGAAGAAAAACAATGCATAAGAAACTGGTAGAATGCATTCAATTTGCCTTATCCTCTAAATGACCATGAATTATCAACCTGGTAAATTAAAATTATCCTGTTTTTTGCAAGATGAAGTAAACTTCAACACAATTTCTTATACCTGGATGCCCACTATGAAGTTACACCATTATTTTCCTGAGATTGTACAACATCAATACAGATACAACACATAACATACATTAAACATGAGATGCAGGATTTGAAGTAACTGTTGGAACTAACCACCGACTGTGGTGGTGCTGAGGGCTTCCTGTAGCTGCAGGCAGCACTTTTTGGTTTGATTCTGCTTGCACATGTTTGAAATACAGAAATATCTTAACCATTTTTCTAAAAACACTGTTAAATGAATTTCCTTTTAAAATCTATATTAGAAAATTCTGAAGAGTCATTACTATTGTGTTCCTTTTGAAGCAGGTTTAGACAGAAACAGTTATTGTCTTTATAATATCTTGACAAGAGAGAGGAAGCATTGAATTCTGAGAGCCTGGACTTTCACGGGAATTGCTATAAGAAATCAACTGCAACAGTGTTATTGTGTAACTACAAGTTAAAATGTGAAAGCTTTATTCTGAAGCTTTATTCTTTATTACTTCTATAGCAAACACGGCCAGGCTGTTTAAAAGAGTTACAAACTGCTTTGCCATAAAAAAATAATAACCAAATACAGTAAGTTTTGTGGTGTTCCTTGTTGGTGCTGGAAGCATACATATGTGCTGTGCACATTTCACTTGGAAAATGCATAAATACTTCCCGGGCAGATGTGTAAGCAGTGAAAGACCTGCAGGTCTGAAAGTACTGCATTATTGCACAACTCTTCCCCATAGTTTTACTTCATCATTTGACATATTTTTAGTAATCTAAACATTAAATTCTTTCTAATTAACTTTTTCAAATTGGTTTATACAGATGTTATATTCAGATGACTATTAGGTAATATCAAAAACTATGTGCCCATCAGACTCTTTTTGTGCATTGCTTTTAAAGGGGAGAGTTTCATGCTATATTTACCACTTGGAATTTGTTATTTTCCCCACCACAAAGGCAAAAAAAAATTAGGCTTTTTAGGCCTCCACCATACAGATGAAATTCCTTCGTCACTTATTTGAATTACCATAGGAAGAGGAGCTTGGATTACAATTGCAGCAGCTCCATGAATAAGATGAATTCTGTTCTCTTCCCAAGGTGACAGTCAATGCAGCTAAACCACTGCAGACTGGAAGAGTGGAACGGGCTAAACACGAACATTTTCAAAGGCACTTCAGTAACTTCAGAATCCAAGATTAATGTTCAAGGGTAACTTTCTGTATCTTCTCAGCTTTAGTACACTGACAATCAATGAAATTCAGCATGTTGAGTTTCCAAGTCATTAAAAAAAAAAGGAACTTGGGAATCTAATTACTTCAGTGCTAAATTACTGATGTCCCACTGCCAAGGGATACCTCTCCTGACAACGTTCTGAGGGACCACCAGAAGTGGAACAGCATAAATGGAACAAACTACCATGAAAAGATGATGTTGGTTTGTGGAATTGTATAGTCGCATGTTTTCCAACATAAACATGAATATTAAGTTTATGTGGGACTCTGGAAGCCTAGCATTTGTCTTTCAATTAGACACCTTTTCTTAACCCTGAAAACATGAGGATATTTCATTAATTACCAAAAAGAATTCCTTGTTTCTCATAGGATAAGAACTTGTGCATGGTATGATCAAATTCTCACATAAAGTGATTACGAATGACAGCACGAATTCGAGAATTACTCCATTCTGTTTATTTTCAATTCACTTACTCTCAAGAAGAATGGGAACTTTTTCCCATAAAATCCAACTCTGAAAAATTCTGGCTCCAAACGCTGTTGATCCATAATTTTATCATACAATGACGCTTCCATCATCTGGGTGAGATTGATAAGAAATGCAATTAGTCTTTTCTGAAAACATATTTTAACCTTAAGCTATCACAAAAGGGACGGTCTTTCAGCAGTGCTCTGGAGTACTGGAATAGCAGTACAACTCTGAGCAACAATAAGGACAACTAGAAGTCTCTGACTGCATCAGATTAAATAACTGTACCTCTTAATGACCTGAAAATTTCTAAGAATTAAAAAAAAAGCTTTGAAATATGAACTACCTATATCGAAGGGGTAAGATATTTGATTAATGACAATATTCATAGTTCTTTAATAAAAAATGGAAGTAACAGAAACGCAGTTTGAAACATATGACCCAGTAATCTGCTAATCATCCAAACACGTGGCAGTAATGTGGTCAGTTCAGTCAGCAAAGTCCAGTTTCCATATTTAGAAGAGTTATGTCTAACTCATACCAGATTACAATAATTTAAATGTTAATGTGAGTTCCTTTGAAAATCTCACAACAACAATTAACAGCACTTTTGATACATACACTCTGCTTTTATTTCACTCAAAACACTGACACAAAGTGATCTTAACGTCAAAGCCCCATTTTCTGATGATATTTCAGCAAAGCATTCTCTGTTCATAAGTTTTTAATACTGTGAAAAACCCATCAGCATTAGCCCTATTTTAGGTAATGCAGACAGCTGTTTAATGTGTATTTAATGATATTAATAGCTGCCTAGTTATATTGCTGTGAGAAATCCCCGCACCTTCGTTTTTGGATTAACATAGGTGGCACAGATATAGTAGAAGGATATTTCCTGATTCAAACACAAAACACATTAAATACAATTAATTAAACATGCATAAAGTAATTATTTTATTCACATGAGAATAGTCAGTTTGCTTTTGCTTATAGGATTCTGCCATTGGTATATATAAAGATATATGGAATGAGCAGATCACAGGGAGTACTGCCCCGTAGCTCTGTGTTGAGAATTTTGCATCATGCTGTTAAGCAGCTCTGGATGAAGTATACTTCAGTCACTCCCAGCAGCAAGCACCCTGCACGTAAAGAAAATTTAAAAAGGAAGCTGCAATATAAAACTGCATCTATCAGAAGCAGACAAGGAAAGGGAAGACTGAGTAATCTTTAAAATACAGTATCAGAAAGAATGAAGACAAATAATGCTTAGAGGTCTAAGAAAAATGAGAGAGAAAGCAGGAAGGCTGTGCCAGGAAAGATTCATTTTGGCTATACGATATTAAACAGACCATGTTTTTAAGCAGTAAATGAAAATAAAATTGCAAAGGTGTACATTGCTTGTTGCAACCTCTTTGCTCACAATTACAACTGCAAAGATGCGTTGCTGCTCCTAGCGAAGGACTGCATAGAGCGCATTCCTTGGATAAACCATAGGAAATCCATGAAAGCGAATTTGTAATATAATTTTTCTGCATAAGCATGCACACAAAAGGGATACTGTACAGGTACAAACGTTGCAAGATCACTTTTTTTCCCATTTTTCTTCAAAAAGCTCACATTCCTTTTTTATAATCTTTATCATGGAAAGAAAACACAAGCTAAAAAATAAAGTTTGCAAACCAAACCTAAGGACCATTCCATGGCAAATTTAATATCCTAAGTAATATTTTATAATCCAAAATAAAAAGCTTTTGGATCTCTGATTGATGAAAAGTACTCAGGTACATTACCCTCATCTTGCTGAGGTTTCTGTAGTCATAGTAGCTCTCATACTGTTCTGCAATTTTCCTGCATAAGATAATGCCATTTTCCCAACACTGCAAGCAAGTAAAAGATGTTCAGCAATTTCAAAGCAACTGTTTGACAAGTCATGATTTATTAGTGATTTATTCTTTCTATACTAAGTCATTCTTCCAGTAACTGAAAAAACTTGAACATATTGTCCACTAGAAATACTGATAGCTGCTGAGTAATACTGATGACTTCTTTGAAGGACCGAAAATATATTTAGAGACTTATTTAATAAATGATTCTTACAGGAATATCACTGAAAAAGGCACAAGTCATTGCAAGACTGATAGACATCTCTTTTGATACTACATATGAGACTGATTGAACACAGTATGATTTTTACATTTTAAAATTGTATTCATAACATATCCTCCTTAATTTTTGTAGATTGGAAAATAATTTATTGCACCACGTAAGTGAAACTCTATAAGCCGATTACAGAATTTTTTGTAAAAACTGATGCTCAACAACAGTTTGATTACATTTACTCAGCTTACATGAATATTACACTCGCTACACAAAATTGCAATGAATTGCTTGTTTATCAGCAAGACAAATCATCACAAAAAGTGTATATAAAATTTTAGACTACAGGATAATTACTCTTGCTTAATTCAGAATAAGCATTCTCAATAACGACAATGAAGTGTGATCCCAAACCCCATTCCATTTTAGAGATTCTGCAATTGCTGTTCTAAAAGATGCAACATGATTTAGAAGGTGTAAACATAGCCCTTATAATCCAGACTCCTGAATTTTTTTCCCTCACTTAGTCACTAAGTGAATTTCATCAGCTTTATATGGCTCATTTTCAAGACCTTTAAAATAGGGAAAAATGATGTTATCTTTTATAAAGTGCAAGTTACAACGCAAATTGCTACACAAGTGCAAATTATCGTCACATATAAGTGTGGGAGTTCTAGGATACAAACACAGGATTAGAGGAAACCTCCCATGTCGCTAAGTAACTGCTTAATCAAGCAATGACAAACACTTCCCCTCTATATGAGAAAAGACTACAGCCTTGGAAGTAATGTCCTAAAATGAATAAACTATCCTCTCCACTCACTGGAACAGGACTATTTTACCTTTCCCCTATCAAAGTTTTGAATGATGGTCAGATGGAGACACTCTTTACGTTGCCACTCTGTTTGCATAGGGTAGTTGAGAAATTCTCTCAGGGGTCGATCAGACCACTCCAACAGCTCATCGTACAGCAGGAGTGTGTAGGCAGCCTCTGCAAGACAAATTATAGCATGGTACTTAGGAACACCAAATAAATAAAACAGCCAAAAGCCAAACCAAGTACACAGAAACGTGAATGCTCCTGATGAGATGCACCTTTTTAATAGGTAACTGATTTATTTCAAGGATAAGACAGATGGTGGTTCTGGTTTTGGACAGAGTTCCTATCTACAGCTATAACAACAATTTACACACACTATTTAAAGTGGAATCACTGGAAGAGTTTTCCTGGAGTCTGACAATACAAAAGGGACTGAGAAATTAAGAAACAATTTCCTGCTTAGCCCTAGACTTCCCTACTGCTAAGGAGAAACTTTCAATGGCTCTGCTGTCTGAACAAGGACTGGAGGATG